GCAGGACTTTGGGAATGGCCAGGAATGAAGGAATTCCTTCAGAGAGGATCTTCATGTGGCAAGCGGCATCTTCCCAGGCAAGAATTATGGAGGCAGAATCTCTGGAACCATCAGCCCCTCGTGTTTCCTGCATATTTGATACAGTATGTGTGACACTGTGGAAAGCAGATTTAAATCTGCAGTTCACGAATGTTCACTCACAGGTTCTGTGTAAATCGCAGTCAGAGTGAGCATGCAAAAAGACATGATATTCGATCTATGATTAGATCTATTCCTCTTTCAAAGCTGCCAATATCCTGGGCCATTGGCAGAAAATTCCCTCCCTACCCCCCACTTTCTTACTTCCACTATAGACTTGATTTCTCCAAAAAGATTAGATAAATTTACTTCCAAGACCCTCAGTTTAAAAAAAAAGTGACCAATTTTTAATAAAATAGTTAGACTTAGGCTCCATCTGTAGAAAAAAATTATTGGCAGGTGGGTGTGGAGAGAGGGCACATTCTACAGTGCCCAGGGGTCACTCTCACTTTTATGCTCAGGATTGAGCCCTGAGAGCCTATGACACTGTACGCAAGGTCCTTCCCCCTATACTAGCTCTCCAGGCCCCAGGAAAAAAACAAAACAAATACTTTTTAACAGAGTTATCTTTCTCATGTCAATGTATACATAGGAGACAAGATTTTGTCAAAATCTCTTCACAGTAAACTCCCATTTTGTCCCATTTCTTTTGAATTTGCAACCTTGTCAGTTCCTTATATGGATGTTATTGAATTAAACCTTTTTATTCTATGGATCAGGCTGATGTTGTTAATTCCTTTACTGGTCTAGACCTGAGAAGAAGACAGGAGGGTGTGGGAAATTTTCCCTGTGTCCTATTAAGCCATTCATGAAATATGTGTCATATCTCAAATGCCCTTTTAATTGCTAAAGAAAATAAAGCACATTTCCAGAATATTTTATGTTGAGGGTTTTTGTTTGTTTGTTTGCATCTTGTCTTTGGAAATCTAAACATGTATCTAGGACATTTCTAAGCAGGATATTGGGGTTAACCATTTCATAGCCACATTTGGATAAATAGATTATCTCTGCATGACAAGGTAAATCTGCTCCCATACTTCTTTGTCAGTCTCCGGACTTAATCATTTTCTTAAATTCACAAGCCTCCATTACTGAGAAAAATAAAAGTAGGTCAAATGCTCAAATGTATAGAAGTACTTTTCAATTTTATAAAGTTCTCTTTCCATTTGCGACGAGTATTAAAAAAAAAAACAGTGCAAAAAAAGGCATGTAGAACTATAATTATATAGCTGATTGTTGCTCATTTATTGCATTGATCATGTAAATAGTAAGGATATGTGAAGGTCATGCCCAGAAAATACTCGCAGGACATATGCAAAAAAAATCTCAGAATAAAACTCACCCAAGGGATCACTTTTGATGCAGCCTGAAGCAAGCATAAGCCCTTGGACTTCAAAGTTAAGAACTAGGAGTTATCATTTCAGCTCTGCCTTTGTCTGTTTTGCCTTGAGCAAGTCACTTCTTGTGTAAGACTTTCTTCTTTTGCTCTATAAAACAGGGGCACTGGAGAAGATGGTTGCCCAGGTGCCCGGAATCTCGAACTTGAGGACTCTACTGATTCTGATCAACAGGAAACGTCAAGAGGAACTGGATTCGATGCCTCACACAGGAGTGCAGAACAGAAATTTGATAAAATGTATGAGGTAAGTGAGCGCGGCTTTGCTGATTGCTTGGAGACAGACTCCTCAGGTAGCCTGCTGGTCCCTAGAAGACCAATTAGATTTGCAGTCAGCAATGAAATCCCGTGGGTCAGAAATAAGTCCCCTGAGCTACATTTGAATGACTGGATAGCAGTGTGGTCTGATGTGTCTGTGTTCAAAGCTGAGAACAATGACTGACACATGCTGACACATACCTTCTCTGTCCATTAGTAGACATTTAGGTATCATATTTGTAGCTTTAGAATGGATAAATCAAATACTGGACATGACCAGATGATGTCAGGTGACAGAAGTATTCAAATGCAAACTTCTGGCTTCTTGAATATTAGAAGTTGGATATTAGAGCCCTTCCTCTTTCTATTTCTGTGCCAGTAAATTAGAACTTCTTCCTCCATACTCAGTGCTAAAATTCTTACTGATTGATTGGTTTATAGACTTAGTGTTAATGACAAATAAAAGTTTGAGTCACTTTGAAACAAGTTTGTTCAGAGATTTCCCAAATCATGGATAATTCTCTCTTTTTGGTTTTGTTTTTATTTGGGGGCTATATCCAGTGATGATAAGGGGCTACATCTGCACTCGGTTGATAGGATGGGCAATCATCCTATCATCTGTACTATCACTCAAGTTCTTTATAGATATTTATTTATAGACATTACTTAAAATTTCTATCATCTTAAACCTCCTGACAAAAAGAAATTTATATGTGAAAAATCTCATGACAATAATCTATTAGGTATTTCCTGTTATAAAATCAACAATCACATTGCAAAAAGAAAAAAAATATGAGGGGCAATGAAATATGAATGAATATAACTCCATAAATGAATAAATACACAGAAATACAAAAAGTTTTAAATTATAAAATGTAATTGATTTTACAGAAAATTTTGAATCACCTCATTCGGACTTCTCAGTTTAGCAAGAAATCTGGGAATCAAGATGATAAAAACAACCTACTCCTAATTAGATAGATATTTAGCGCTATACTCAGAATTGGAATTCAGTTCTCCAAAAGTTATTTATCACATCTGAAAATTAAAAAGTCTTTATTTATATTATAGTTTAAATGTATTTAATTTTCCAGAAAAGTTGTAAAAGTTACACTTTGGAGGAAAATATGTTAATTTTTTAATTAATTTTATTCACTTGATATTAATTTTAGGGAAATATTTTATAAACTCAGTCCCAGGATATATCTTTAAGAACAAATTATTTACCATTTGAGATCAAAAAACGGGGTGTTTGCAATTAATACTTCTCAGGCAAGTGTCATACTCAAGCTATGTGTAACTTAAAACCTTGTACCACAACCCTGAATATTTTTCTCCCTGGAAAGCTCAAGAAAGGATTAAAGAATACAGCACACAGAGACCCAAGGAATGAAATATTTTGTGAATCACTGTGAGGTATAATTACAGACTTAAAATCTAGATGTATTAGTAAGGAACTAAAGTATAAGAAAATGTAGATAGATATATTATAGATGAATTATTGATAGATAAACTCCCTAAAATTAGTCTGATGGAATAAATTAAATTTATAATAGGTGATTTAGATGTCCTAATGTTCACTTGTCTTCTCTGCTATGAATGTATGGATCAAGAATTATTGATGTCAAATACCTTATTATGATAAATTTGAGTTGTGTGACCCTATGATGGCCCCAGTGGTTCTCACTTCCTAGAATTCAAGTTTCTGTGTAATCTTCTTCTGTGAATCTGAGTGATACCATTGACTTGCTTCTAACCAGTGCCCTTTGGCAAATAGATCGAGATGTCATTCCCATATCATGTCACATTATAGGATACTCTGTCTTTCTAGATAACTGACACATACTTGCCTGTAGGCTTTGAAGAGTCAAACCACCATCTTACTCTTCCTTATAGATAGGACCAATGGTTGTGAACAATATATTATCAACAATGGCCTTTAGCCTACATTCAAGCAAAAATGACAAAAACATTAAAATTCTATAGTATAAAAATGACATCTTCCCATATTCTGGGTGAACTTGAAAGGGGAATCTTCCACCATTTGAGCCTTCAGATAAGAAGACAGCCTCCTGTATTGTTGAGTTTAATCTAGTAAAATCCTAAAGCAGAAAACCTACCTGAGCCATGTCTAGACTCCCAATCTGCAGAACCTGAGGTCATGTTTGGTGCTGTTCTAAGTCTCTGTGCTTATAGTGATTTGTTGTGTAGCAGAGAGAGCATGTTTTTCTACACTGGAAAGTTTCAAACAGCTTTAGTGATTAAGGATGATCAGTGGGTGCTGTTGTTCCAGCATCTCAACAATGATGACTGTTAATGGCACAGAGATTAACTACTTGCTCAGCTGTTTCTGTCATGTGTGTCTTGCATTAGAGAGACCATTTTCAGAAGCTATCCCTTTCAGTTGCAAGTCTGAATTATATGGCCTACCAATTTTTTCCTTCTTGGGATCACTCTTATAAGATGGTCTTATAAGCATGACCCTTTTAAGGTCTCAATTAAAGACTAAACCATAGCACGAGTCCGAATTAGTGAGAACACTCGTAGGATTATCTAAAGGAAAACACACCTGTTTGCTCGTTCTGTTGCTTGTGGAGGTGAGGACTTCTCAGGTCCCACTTCTGGCTTTCTGTTTGGAGATAGTTCCTGATAGTTCTCAGGAGATCATATGGTTCTGAGGATTGAATCCAGGTCACCCACATGCAGAGCATACAGTGCCCACCAGACTCTCTCCAGACCTAAACTGAAACATTATTAGTTGTAAAAAACACTATTATTTTGACCTGTAGATATACCTTATCAAAAAAACGAAAAAAATGCTGAGAAATGCAAAGTATAGAACAAAACCTCTGCATACTTTTTTGTGGAAATAAAAACATAACAATCAGCATGGGAAACTATATGGGGGTTCCTCTAAAAATATTAAGATGGAAACCCCATATGATATCAGCATATCAGATATATGTGTCTCCTAAGTCTATATTCAAGGAAATAAAACCATTTACTTGGAGGAAAATCTGCACTCTTGTGTTCTTGTACCGTTATTGACAATAGCTGGGATGTAGATATAACCTGTGTTATCAATCAGTGGATGAAAGCAGGGTGCATGCAATTATATACAACAAACCATTGCTCAGCCTTTAAAGAAAAAAACCAGCATTTGTGAAAAAATCAGTGAAAATGAACAGCACGATGCCAGTTGAAAAATAAACCAAGCAAAAATGTAAATTATGTGTGAATTTTGAAGAGCTAAATAAAGATCAAACTCACAACTTCATGATCTTTGGGCTAAAATCAAATCTAGTATGTCTATTATCAGTTTAATAACTGATATATCCTCTCTTCAAGAACTACATAGTAAATGGATCTTTGGAGTCTGGAGATGGAGAAGTTTGTTCCTTCCACAATATACATCTTCCTGGTGTTACGGTACCACCAAGAATGATGCAACCCCTCTGAGAATAAAGCAAAAGTAAATGATCTGGGTAGTTAGCACAGGGTAAAGACTCATGAGTCTGCATAAGTTTGATCCCTGGCCCCCATACCCAGAGCACACCAGGAATAATCCCCAAGCACAGAGACAGAGATAAACCCTGAGCACACCTGGGTGTGTCTCCCAACAAAAATAAATTTTAAAAATTATTTAAAATTTGCTAAAGAGTAGAAATTAAATTTTTCACAAATTAAAGTAAAAGTGGGAGAAATACAAATCTGGCCCAATAAGGTGCCTGGGGTGGACTCAGTCACAAAGGTGTCGAAATTGCGAGTGCCACACCAAGAGCTTGGCTCCCAGAGCTGTTCACAGCAGCCAAACACAGTTGCCGAAGCTTTGCTGCTTGTCACTCTAAACACTATGACAGGGTCTTTGGTACACAGTAAGGTGTATGCTCATGAGGAGTTGAATTGCATGGTCCCCAGTAGGCCCCCTTTTCCACCCCTGGGCATAGTTACAGCAAAGGGAAGGGAAGAGCAGGCAGGAATCTGGGGCAACACATGTAAACCTGGACTCTCAGACAAACTAGGATGAATGACAAGCCTAGGTTTAACAAGCTTAGCTTCATTGCAAAGCTCCTTAAATAAACTAAATTCCAAAACTTTGGTTGTATTCTAACTTGATAATTTCAAATCTAATCCCACTTCATGTTATCCCTCTAAGGGAACAAATTATGAGGCACAGATCCACAATGCTTAAATTAATAAGAAGTTCCTGGCACGTCTATTTTATTACTAGTCAATCGATGTGTAGACTAGAATAGAAGGCCGAGAATAGTTTTGGCAACAGTTAATACATTTGTAAGTGAATAAATAAAGGTATGGCTAAACTCTTCCTCTATGTTGCATGCTGTTGTTCCTCAGCATCACAATGCAATTATACTACCTCCCACGGACTAGGAAGACTAAAATAAAAAAGATTTACAGGACCAAATGTTGCAGAGGGTGTGGAGTCACTGGTACTCTTACACTTAGCTGTAGGAATGCAAAATGGTACAGATGCTTCGGAGAACAATTTGGCCATTTCTTGTATGCAAAACATACACATGCTACCCAGCTCTGCCACTCCCATGAGAAATGAAAACATATGTCTACACAGAACTTATACACAGCTATCCACAGTGGCTTGATTCACAGTCACGAAAAAGAAGAAACAACCCAAATTCTTCTCAGCTAGAAAAAAGTCAAGAAAATTGTAAGATGTTCAGATAGTGGGGTGCTATCCAGAAATAGAAAGGAAAAAAATTACGGATACGAATAAACTCATGGATGAGTGTCACAGACGTAATTTTGAGCTGAAGAAATCAAGCAAAACAAATTGAATTTATATGAAGTTCAAAATAGGAAAACCTAATATAAAAACATATGAGAACTGGGGTTATCTTTGTATTAAGTCTAGAGGAATAGTGTGAAAGAGATATGAGAATATATTTTGAAGAGATGAAAATGCTTTATATTGTGAAAGGATTGTTGATTAAACAGGTGTATTATGTTGTCAAAATTATACAGTTAATATTTATGCATTTTAATATATGTAAATTTCACATTTAGAGAAAAGATTATTTTAAAAGAGCTTGATAAAAATGTGTCTTGCTTTGAGTAGGGTTAATTTTAAAATCATCTGAGATGTGTTCTTTATAGAACTGGCATTTTAGCAAGCCAGATAAGGGAAAGAAAACCCCAGTAAGGGTGCATCCCTTATAAGACAGGGCAAAATAAGAGAAAATAACTTTGTTACTCACCTGTAGCAATTACTTGGTTACCATTCAGAGGAATAATGGCCCACAAAGCATATCCAAATCAAGGAAATCTGGAGGACCAACCAAGAAGCTGAAAGTCATGTCTCACATGAAAACCCTAGAAGGAATTGTTTATTTTTCTAGGATTAGAGGAACTAGATAATTATATCCACTGAAGCTTGAAAATGTAGATATGAAAATAAAGACACATTCTGAGACATCCTAGGAGGGTAGAATTCACTGGCAGGGAAAAAAGAAAAACAACTTGGACATTGCAAAGTAGAGTTCCATGGTGTTGAAATGCTACAATTAGGGAGTAAATGCTAAAGAGAGTACTGCATGTAAAGTGTTTGCTTTGCATGAAGTTGATATGTATTCCATTCCTGGCACCCCATACAGTATCCTTCAAGTACCACCAAGAGTAAACCATGAATATGATAAAATGTGGTCCCAAGCCCCCAAATAATATATTTAATATATATTTTTTAAAAATTAGGGAAAGGGTGATAGTACAGGAGGTAGGGCACTTGCCTTGCATGTGGCTGACCCAAGTTCAATTTTCAGCATTGCAGAAGGTCCCCCCGAGTGTGCCAGGAGTGAGCTCAGAGCCAGGAGTAAGTTGTGAGCATTGCTGGGTGTGGCTCCCCTAAAACAAACACAAATTTTGAATTCTACAATTAGCTGCTAAAGTAATAGCTCTCCATCATTGAGGGTATCGGATGGAGACTTCATTTATAGTCTGTCCTGGGAGGTTTCCCAAAGAATTGCTACATTCAAGTAAGATTGGTCTTCTCTCTTTCCAACACACCATGACTCTGTGTTGGAAAAACCTGAAAGTTGAAGATTTATTACCTTGGGGTTCAAAGAGATAGTAGAAGACAGAGTGCTTGCCCATCCTGTGACCAACCGAGTTTTGATCTCTGGCACCTCCTAGGATCCCCCAAGTCACACCAGGAGGGACCAGTGAACATGGATCCAGGAGTAAATCCTGAGAAATTATGGGTGTGGAGCAAATTTTTTTTAAATTTCTCATCTAGATGACACTCTAAGATGTCCAAGTTGATGTTTGATACATATTTATCAGTATCAGTAAGATAAAGCTACCATTTGCGATTTTGTGAAAGTTTCCGTAGTAATGGCTTTATACAGTAAGTTTTAAATTGTCTTTAAAATGTTCCAAGTTCTATAAAATTGTAGTCATATAGTCTCTATAGTGGGGCAGATTAAAATAACAAACTCATTAAATACAAGATAAACTTGGGCTCACACTTTCTATTTTTGCTTTTGGTTGTTCTCATTTTGTCAAAACAAAAGCGAATAGCTGAAATATTTCAAAAATATTTTTATCCCATAGAATAATAGGAATATGTAATTTTTCCCAGTCTTGGAAGGTTTCAGAGGACATGCCTTATGATCTTACTGTAGGATTATTTTCACAATAGATGAAAGAAAATTTATATTTTAGAGCATTGGTGAGAATTACTAGGTCCAATAAAGCTCCTTTATATATCAAATTCTGTGTGATAAACATATTTTATTGTACTCTATGCTTTATTTACATTTATATAAGATAATACAAAATGTGTTTTAAAATAAATTATAGGTAGACCTGAATTTTTCAAAATATAATTTCATTTGTTCATCTTATGTGTTCAACTTTGATTTTATTCATTTTCCTCTTTTAACCATGACAATATGATTAGTAGAAGCTCCTTAACCAGGAGGGCATAGGCTAAAGACAAGAACAATTGTAGGAATCAGTTCAGATACTGCCCTCATAAAAGTTTAGTGAAGACATTTAAAATGACTGGTTGTAGGTTTCAAGTCTCCATTCAGACTTTTTTCTATTAGTCAATACAATTGAGAATTATCTACCTATGAATTCCTAAGCCACTTTAGAATTATGATGCTTCTTTACACTTCAATATTAAAAAGAGTTAATCTCTTATCTGTAATTGAGAGTTTGTTTCTTTTGCTTCTACCTAAAATACAATATGTTTAAGCCTAAATATTTTCCATGACCATTGAAGAATTTGGAACTCATAAGAAAAGATCTCTTAGGAGCTGGAAAGATAGTACAGTGGGTAAGGTGCTTGTCTTACATACAAGTGACTTGGTTTTGATCCTTGGTATCATATTGTCCCCTAAGGATCACCAGCAATGATTCCTGAGCACAGAGTCAGAAATAAGTTATGCTGAGCATTACAGAGGAAGGAGGGAAGGAGGGATAAAGAGAAGGAAGGGAGGAAGGGAGGGAGGGAGGGAGGAAAGGAAGGAAGGAAGGAGGGATGGAGGGAGGGAGGGATGGAGGGAGGGAGGGAGGGAAAGAAGGAAGGATGGAAGGAAGGAAGGAAGGAAGGAAGGAAGGAAGGCAGGCAGGCAGGCAGGCAGGCAGGCAGGCAGGCAGGCAGTCCATCTTATTAAACAACTCATTTAGTGGAAAACGAAATAAAAACATAGTTTCACTACAAGCAGGTAAATTTAGATTTTTAGAAACCATCAAATGAAGGAAATAAATTAATTTTCTTTTATATGTTATTTATACATGGGGCATTTTTTTAGATTTTTATTAGTGAAACACCATGAGGTACAGTTGTAGATTTACAAATTTTTTGCTTGGGTTTCAGTTATACAACGATCGAATACCCATCCCTCCACCATTGAACATGGGGCATTTTTTGAGATGTTTTTCTTGAGGTCTTACTGAAAGCTTGGTGTGCCAGATTAAACTCTGGTCCTTTTAAACTGGTCCTTATGTACACTACTGCAAGCCTCTTTCTTAATCCTTGATCAAGTGATCAAGTGATGATCTTTCTTAGCAAAGTTGTCTTACATGATTCCCTACCTTTGTGTAGTATTCATGATATTGATGATGAATTCCACATGCATAGCAGTATCAAAAGTCACTTCTGTTTAATATCAGTAAAGAATTGCCATAAAATCCTACTACAGAATTCCAAACAAAGTTTTTGTAAGAACTGTTCAGAAAGCATGTAATTACATCACAGAAATACCACCCATAAAAAAATCACCTTTCAAAATTCTAAAAGAATCTCTGAGAAGAACTGTTTAGAGAGCTATGAACTCACTAAAGCCACATTGATTTATTTTTCACTATTATGGGATTTATAATAATTACCTGACAGGTAGATCTGGAAGAAAGTTTGCCACGTAATTATATAATAAAAACAATATGACTGGGATAAATCAAGTGTATGAATTAA